ATAAAAAATTATATTAATCATTTTTAATTATATTTATTTTTTCTGATTTTTACATTTTTATATATTTTTTATCCTTAATCATATGAATTCTCATATCTTATTTATTCATTCTATCTAAATGTGAGAAAGTGGGATGAGGGTGAGAGAGGGGAAAAAATAAAAAAGTAAGAGAGGGGGATAAAAAAAGATGATGGAATGGGATTAGCTTTTCGACTTAAAAAAGGAAAAAACTAATGTTTGAAAATGACTTGATAAAGAAAAAGAAAAATGATAAAGTAAAATTATTCGTGTTAAGAATGACTTCTTCACAAATTTAATCAAATCTAGTATTTTAATAAATACTTTTCATTTTAAAGGATTTTGGAAAACTTTTTTGACTGTTCGCAGTATTTAGATAAATTTGCCGTCCAACGTCTGTTACGCCTTGAAATTCCAATTACCAATCAAATCGAGTCGCCATGATTGCAGCCATGGCTGAATTTACTACTCTGCCCCGCTATCCTTCGCCCACCTCTAGCAACGTCCTAATGAACCCTAGCTTGTGCCTTGGGGCCTAATTAGTGGGGTTTCCTCCATTTCCCCATCATCTACTCAAAATTTGTGGTCCCTGGGCTTGTAAGCTGAAAGCGAAGACTGAAAAGGAAAAAACTTTATTTGTTCCTTAATATTTGTTTATTTTTATTATTTTTAAAAAATGCAAAAATGACAGCACGAAAAAATATTTCACTGATATGATATATTTTCACTGATAACCAACCAAGTGGCATGAATACTCTCCAATAAAGTGAAAGGATATAGTTAAATCATATTTATATCTCAAATTGTTAGTTTTGTTTTTAATTTTACGAAAAATATATTTTCATCTTTTCTCAAAATTCTGCACTAGCATAGAATCAGAACTAGAGTCTGCAGAAGGAAAGGCAGCTCCGTTGCCCGGTCGCCGCTGTCAATCTCTCATATCCGTTGGCGATTCGTCTCAAGGAAGTAAAAGGTGTTTAGATGAAAACTAATTTATAGTTTTAAAAATAATTTTACAATATATATAGAAGGATTTGTTTTAATTCACAGGAAAGTGCTTTTTAGAAATAATGATGCTAAACACGCTGGCTCTCCACAAATTGCCAGCCTGTAAATTCGGGCAGCTACCCAAACTGCCCAGTTAAATCTCTCTCCTCTCTGTCTCAAGTCTCTCTCGTTGTCCCTCCCGCACTCTATTTAAACGTTTCCATCTGCTCCGCTTCCGTCCATTGGTTGCAGAATATCCCAGTGGTCCAACTGTTTCCGCACTCAAAGCCCTAGAAGCTTCTGCATCATCCATGGCTTTCACTCAGCAGATGCTCGCCAGCACAATGGCGGTGATACTCATCGTCCTTTCCGTTATCAGCGCTTCTCACGCTGCCGAGGCTCCGTCTCCCAGCCCTTCTTCCCCTGCTGTTGTCATTTCACCCTCCTTTGTCTCTGGCTGTCTTGCTGCTACTTTAGCCCTCTTTTTTGGATCTGCTCTCCGGATCTAAGGTTGGTTTCATCATGTCGGTAGTTACTCAGGAAACCTTTCAGTGTGGGCTGTGGCACTAATAGAGACTCAGTAGTAGCAACTGTCTCTCGATTTCCCGTGCACAGATTATATAATTATATCGATATTTGCGTTTTTTGGTTTTACGCGTGACTTGTTCCTATAATATTATATGTTTGCGTTCATAGATTGTGATATATAATCGACTTTCGGTTGTTTATTGTGATGTCTTTATTCTCCGGTGGAGGTCGATTGATCTCATTAAGCTGTTTAGGGTGGTTGATTTGACGTGAATTGATGAATATTCATATGGTTGGTTGACGACCACAGTCAAAGTGCATCTGAAAACAGTGGCTACAAAGCCTTCTTCTCGGAGATCAGAGGCCAGAGTATTCGCCACTGAATTCTGTATTCACGCATTTCATTTCCATCTTCAGCGAAATCGGTCAAATTATTTTAACGAGTTCTTTTCTGAATATGAAATCCTCATACAATTGTCAATGCAATTCGTAACCCATAGGCATAAGATAATCTTTCCACTGGTTTTCACCCCGATTTTTATCGCTTGCCTCAAACACAAACCCGCTCGAGAGCTTCAATCATCAATAGTGTTAGTTGAGGACAGACGGATAAATTCACGACTCCCTTATTATTATTATGTTTTTTTTACCAGCACGGCTCCCTTGTTATACCATTCATCTCCTTAAATTCTCGTTCGTGGTTATCATGGAAAAGAATGGACCTCACTTTCAAATGCTTTGCGAGTTGTGGACTTGTGGGATTGCCACTTTATTCTGTGGGTGACGTGTTTTCCATTGACCAGTTATGGCCTAATGTCATAGAATATGGCGCACTAATTAATTAGTGCACAATTCTATTGCAACTCAAACAGTTTTGGATTCCTTTCGTTAGGAGAACAGGCTTATTTTGTCCGCAACATCCCTGTCAGTCAACATTATATTATATATTTTCTGGCGGGATGTAATATAATTAGTGTGTTCGAACTTCGAATCACCGAGGGGTGTCGAATGATGAGCCCTGAGATGCTGATATCGATGGACGAGGAGAAAAATAAGCCAAAGAAAATACTTTTTCTATGGCCAAACGTGGAGGAAAAATGCTAAAACGAAAACCTTTCAAAAGTAGCAAAAGTTTACACTTTCAATATTTCCAAAAAATACTTTTGATATTCTACTATTTCAATATATCTACTACTTTTCTTTCTGTCCAAATCCAAACCAAAACTCGCAAGTTGGACTCCCCCTCGCCCCCGGGGGGCGCATCAGACAGTCGGTGAGCGGAGACAAGTTTTCCATTCTGTATCATATAGGCTTTGTTTGGTTCAACAAAGGAAAGGGGATGGAGGTGAATTAAGGGGAGGGAAAGGAGAGAGGAAAGGGTACGAGTTTGGTTTGGTTGGAGGGAAAGAGAAGAGAGGGGGATTTCTTATTTGGTTTAGGAAAAGAAGGGAGGGGAGCTAATTATAAGTTGACAAATATATCCCTATCTCTTTATTTATATTCTTTTATTATTTTATTATGATATTTATATCATAATTATCATTTTTGAATTTGTGAATATAAAAAAAACCATATACTTTGAAACATAACAAATAGGTTATAAATAATCATATATCAAAATAAATGTCAATAAAAAATTATAGTCTTTAACATATTATATAAATTATAAATAAATTTATGCTACAAGTTTTGAACTATTCTATCCTAATTACATAACATGTGCAACTACACATACTATGTTAGATATTACATAGAGTTCATCCTCTAAAAAACCCTAAGAGGATAAACTTGAAAAGACAGGCAAAAGGAAAGAGGGAGGGGAGGGGAGCACTAAATGACGAAATTTTTTTCCTCTTCTCCTCTCTATTTTTTTGAACCAAACACAATTTTTTCTTTCTTCCCCTCCCCTCCCCTCCACTCCCCTCTCTTCCCTCCATAAACCTTCCAACCAAACAATACCTTAAGAAAAAATCATGAGATATTCTAAGTACAGGACATCATTTTTATATTAATAATCACAATAGTCTACATATAATTAAATAATGAATTTTTTAAAAAGAACAATACTCCCTTTTATAAAATGTTCCAGGCATCTTATATGCTGATTAAGAAAAAATATTAGATTACTTTATTAGTTAAATATTTTAAATATTTCAATATGCCCTTATTAATTAAAGAAAGATACCCATCTAGTCTATTAATAAGATATTTACATGTATAAAGAAAAACCTTAAAATATTTTAATTCTTCATTAAAATTTAACAACTTTATAACTTTATCCTTACTTAAGATCTACAACTTCCAAAAAAACATAACTATTTATATTATAATAAATAAAGGACAAAATAATACATTTCCTGTTAAAAATTTAATGAAATAACTTACAAATAGAACCAAGAAAAATTGTTTCTCTCCCCCTTATAAATAGGTATTTTGTGCAATCTCATGATTATTGGAGTCTAGGCTTAGGACTAATTTAGGATGACTAAGCAAGCTGCAAACAGCCAAGCACTAGGTACTCCAATATTTTTTCAAAAAAATATTAAATATTCTTCCTTTATTATATCGTATATTCTGCAATTTGAAATGTTTGGGCAAGGAGCCCAATTATTGATTCAAGAGTTAACGAATTCATGAGGTCGACACAAATAACTGATACAACCTCCTGGTTGAGGCGTCCACCGACAAAACCTGGATCATGCCAATGCTAGCCTATGGGATGAGGCATGTTATGTATGCTCTGGCTTCTCCCCCGTCAGACAACCTTTGTCTTGTCCAAGATAGTTCAACATATGATGAATTCACGGGGGAAACTGGATATTCAAAAGGGAGGCGATAGGCCAGAACAAAAACTTGTTGCTTGGACAAGTCAATGCTTCTCAAATCTCAATCCTGTCTTCCTATGTTACAGGTAATGCTAATTCATTTGGGAGGTCCAATCCCACACGTTTCTCACGTACAAAGCTGTCACTTGTTATGCAGAATGGTTAAAAATCACCAGGTGAAAACCTCTAAATGGCTGGATAACTTAATGTCTGAGGTAGTAGAGTGCATCGAAGCCTCGGAAGGGAATTGTGGAGTGTGGACCATCAACAAATCTGTGGGAAAGGTGCTTTATACATCCTCGAGAACGAAGAAGATTGAAAATTCCACAAATAGTACAAATATCTAAAGAAAGATATCACACACTGTTCAGGGATTTTGCGGGAGAAAAGTATGAATATTTAACTAGGGTTTGCAACTCAACCGCATATCCAACAACGAGGTCCATTACGTTGAAAGACCAATGCAAATATTGCCGTTTGGTTCCGATCGCTTATTTTTGTTTTGAGGCTGTTAAAAGCCAATCGGCAGTTCAAGATTCGTCAAAAGTATGGAAGTTCAGAGGCAATCTGTTTCCTGAGCAGTTGAAATTTTTGGGTTTAACTGATGCAGCCAAGCGATAATGATCTCGGCGCTTATTAGAGCTTAACCTCAACACAAGTGTAGAAGGAAGCAAAGCAAAGACAGCTCATTTTCACAATCTCACAGGAAAAAAAAACATACGATACAACAGCAGACATGCACTGAAAAGAGGGCACTATGTATGCCCTGCTCGTATAGCTACAAAGTTTGGATTGATGGCAAAAAGCATTGAAGCTTGCGCATCCATTGTTGTGAAACTTTGAGACGCCAAATTGACAATTCATCCACAATTTCCTTTTAAAGGTAAACATGATTTACAGAGACAACTAGATATTACGAATCCACATCATCTTCTTAGTAATATATGAAGTAATAGGCATACTCATTGGCTGGGTGCAGGAACAGTGTCTTCCGCAGTCATTGACTCTGGTGGAGGAGACTTCTTTGTAAGAGGTTTGGGGAAGTCAACATCTTCTTGTATACAACGCTGTTGAGGATGTGACAAGAGTATGCACATGTGGCGGAAAATGACGCGTACTAGCCCTTGCCCACTTTCCAAGATATAGCCCTCATATTCACTCACTTGTTCAAGGGCTTCCACAAGGGTATCATAGACTGCCTGGGGACAATTTTCTGGTCCAGGTTTGTCATGGAGGTACATCACATCCAGAGTGAAAAGCCTTTGGTTCGAAGACCATTGATGTATGGGTCGCACTGATGATCGACAGTAGATGAGAATCTGAGAGAAGGATATTATATATCAATATATCATCCATCAATACATACAATTAAACCTATAGAAAGCCACCCTATTCATAATTTATAAATAGTATGACTCACTTCAGGTTTTGTGCGAAGCACAAGACCCAACCTAGTTAGAACTCATATAAACAAAATATAATTTATAAGAAACAAGCAACCACAATTCACAGAGACATAACAACGAGGTTGCATGCAACTAACCACTCTGAAAATACGACTCTGCACACGAGATTTCTTAGCTTCATGAGCAGCAACTCTGAACAAATTAGTAAGATCTGGTTGGCCACTGGACGAAGTAGCTGAAAGCCCCCGCATTGCAGCAATTGCAGACTCAACATCATTGCTAAACTCTTTCTTGAGCTGTAAATTATTAGAAGACATGAAAAGCTAGCACGATTAATCCAGACTTCAAATAGCTTCTTAAAAAGAAACAAATAAGAATGTTTTGTAGAGCCATATTTACATAGGAAAAGCATGAAAGATGTTATTTATCCATTGCTACATAGATTATCTCATGTACAAATAACACATCAAGCATCGACAAGAAGAAAATATGCAGATATATTATCATCAGTAGGCATGCCAGGGCAGCTTATAACACTAAGACATTTAATGCATCCTTCAAAACAGTAGTTTGTTTATTTTCATAACTACAATATTATAGAAGCTAATAATCAATATGCAGGACTGGGCAGCCATTTTTTACAAAAAGAAACTGAGTATTTGGGGTTTCCAACTGGTGATAGATGTGCCAACGTCATGAAGCTTTGAGCTTCCAACGATATAGTGCAATGAAGAGTGAAGGCTACAAAGGCATCCATGATTCCATGAATCACAATGGAACCATTAATGTCTCAAAAAATTAAAGCACTACAAGTAGCTATAAGAAATAATAAGATCTCATTCTTCATTTTGTCATGCTGATGCAAAAACAAGTTCCAGAAAACTTTAACATCGTTTTTCGAAAAATAAATTCATAAGAACATGTCTATAATTCTTTGCCCCCATTTAGGCCTGTCTCACAGTCCACCGTTGATTCCCCTCCAGGAGATGTCCCCCCCCCCCGGGGGGGGGGGGGGAGGTAGAGGGGTAGCTTCTTACATTAAATTGGGGGATCACCACGCTCCTCTTTGTCTGTGGTTGTGGTAGGGCGCCCTTGTGCTCGCCTGCATGTGTGACTCCGCATAACGTATAGTAACAAGCAACAAACAAAAACAGGAGAGGTGTATAAACCATGAACATGGCTTATTTCAAGTTGTTCCTAAAATCTTAAAGCAAACTACTTTTTTTCATTTAAACTGTGCACGCAGGAGTTCAGGACTAAACTCTAAGTTCACTTTTCAATCAGCAAATAAGCATAACAAAGAACTTGCAAATTAAAACATCGAAAATGGATGTCCCTCCCCATCCTTATCTTCTCTCGATCTTCCATTTTCTTAGGTACCAAAGACATGAATCGGATGGAAAATTAGAAAAAAAGGTGGTGCAAGAAGAAAAAAGTGAAAGTGTTATCTGAAATTGGGAAGGAAAAAAACAAAGGGAATATACTGGGCACAGATAGGAGGGGAAGGGTAAGGCCGAGAGATTTCTTTGCGCCTTTGACTGCATTTGTTATCAAGAAACAGAAAGGCAAAAGGGACTTTACCCAAGAAGCAGACTTTCCGAGAGCGACGAATGCAAAACGATGTTCAGGATTGATGGTTAGCTTGGCATTAACAAAGAGAAGGACGGCTTGCTTGATAGAGTCCAACCTGGTGAGTGGTCGGCCATTAGAACCAGTAGCCTTCAACTCGATAAGGGATTCAGGATCCACATCCACACAAATAAGTATATCTTCGTTTCTTAGGGGTCCTGAATCCAGCACATACTTGCTTGCTCTCGCTGAACTATCTCCCTCGATCCCCTCCATCTCCTCTCTCCTTTCTCCGTCTTCGTATCTGGATTTCACAGACGAAACGCCAATGGTGCTTCTTTTGTCGCGTTTCCGTCTTCTTCTTTTTTCTTTTTTTTTAAATAATTTTCAGGACTCAAAAACTTTCTTTTAAATATGGACGGAAAAGAATCGAAGACCGTGTTTAAAAAAAAAAAAAAAAAGAGAGAGAGAGAGAGAAATCTCAGTTGTTTTAGAGTTGAATTCTTCTGTACTTTTTATATCTAATAAGTAAAACATACATTTTTTAAGGAAAAAAAAAAAGAGCAAGATATAAAGAGCATATATTATCTTAAATTATATTTTTTATTTTTATTTTTAAATTTTAATATATTCATGCAAGATATATATTGCTTATAATTAAAGAGATTATACCAATTATATGAACCAAAATATATATTAATTAATTACTGTAAATTGTAAATGGAGAGTTGGGACGGATGACTCATGACTGAACTCCGTTCTTATTAACTAAATAATCACGCTTTGACTGAATTAGTCAGTGTGTGATTATTTAGTTAGGAATCTTACCCATATAAAAAGCCCCGGCTAATGCCACTGGTGATATCCATCGAATGCTTTAGTCAATTAAGTTGTGTAAGATTGACAACATCCCTAGAATGCTTCCCACTTCATTGTACGCCTAGTTGGCTTTATCAGCTTCTCATAAATAAAGAACAAGTCTATTTGGTTATGGTCATTTCTATAATTTTCATCTTCTTAACATGAGCTTCATGTCTTCGCTCTCTTATCAATCAGCGATTTTAGATGGTGCTTTCTACAAGGGATATTCTTCACGGGCACCTTCTGCAAGGTTTCAGGGAACGTGTTATGCGAAGCAAAAAAAGAAACAACGGAACATACTTCCACAGTTTTAAATCATGGTTGGAATGATGCCTCGGGGGCTTTGATTGCCGTTCACATCCTGTGCCGAACTCAAAAATCATTGTCATCATGATGAATCAGGCAGCGAGGGGACGGAGACAATTACAAACATATTTGGGATTCGAACAAGACATAACCATCATTTAATATACTTTTATAGGGAACTAAACTTAGAGAAGTTGCATCACAGTATCGCGCAGACACAGGGAGGTGGAGAAAACGCAGCCATTAGGACAGATACTGTTAAAGTGATGACCTCTTATGATGGTCCATTTAATCCTGGCAAAGGCCTGAGGAACTAAGACATCAGTGGCCAAGGAACAAGAGGGTCAACATCCACTTTGTTAAATTTCAGAGAATTTGGTCCATCAAAGCTCTTTAGCTTGATTATGATCTTAAGGAGAAAATATTCGATGGCTAACTATGCAATTGCAAACTTAATTTTTGTTCATGTTTTCAGGTGGCCAATTTCAAAATTGTTCATTGTTATCTTTGTTTGATCCTTTATCTTTGTCAACATCACCCGTGAGCTTAAGCTCCGTCCGCTCACTCATCCTTCATTTTTTCTCCCAAGATGCCTAGCTTCCATCCCATGAGAGATGCATTCATTTTGTTGTATTATTATGGCATCAATAAGAAACCAGGTATTTCCAAAAAGTGGAGGATTCTGACTCTTACGAGTGCAAGTCACAGTCCAATCATCGCTTCGACCTGCCTCATCAGACCCAGACTACTATCCAGACAGACACATTTACAGGCATTCTACGTGAAGAAAAGGGGAAAATCTGAAGGTTATGGAAATTAATGTAGCTGCCTTAAATTTGAAGGGAACCATAAACAGGTAGGTGGCCTCCAATCGTGAAGAAACAGCTAATTACATATTGGCACCGTGCAAAAGGTGGCTTGTTTAGATATGAATCAACAAACACCCGTGTCTGACTTGAGTGCCGACTAAACAAAACACCAAAAACTGAATATCACCAGATATTGTGTCTTGAAACTAAACGCATCATGTTTCAAGGATCTTCGACCGGTTTTCCATTTTGGCTCCAAGCGGCAGTCAGGTGGCTATCGAATCAGCCCCTGCTGCTGACTCTATTATGGAGCCATACGAAATAGCTACCTCATCGATTCAAAAAAGAAACAAATAAAAATACTATATTATTGATATCGTGCTAGAGAGATGAGAATGTAACCCCAAACAGGCAAAGAGAGAAGAATCCCACTCGCGGAATATGAATTACACAGCGGCGGAAGGATCGATCGACTCAACCACAGATACAAGCACAACTGCAGTGAGCAGTATTGAGTAGCATCTTAAATACCCAAAGGGGAACCCTAAAGCGTTCGTGAATTTACCGAAATACCACCGTCTGGACTGGTTCATTGTGGCCCTTTAATATAAGTTTGGGCCTGGGCATTGTCCAAAACAAGTTTGGCACTGATCCAGGTCCATGGCCAGGAAGCTTGAAACGTCAGGAGAGATAATTACCGAGTCGCCATGTCTGACTTGTCATGTGGGTTGGTGGGTTCGGTGCTCTTGCTGTCGGTGTCTTATTCCTAACCACGTTTTTGTAGCGGGCGAGAAGAGAGCCTGCATCGAGTCGAGTCGGTTTAGATTGACTCCAGACTATTTAGATGAGAGACTCTTTATTATATTTTTGACTTTTCGGTTCTTGTTTTGGTTCGGCCTCGCGCTAAATATATTGGGGGGAAAAAGAAAGCCACACGCCTTTCTATTTTCTTATTATTCTGGGCATTTCGCTCGTCATTCTCAACTCTTGCTTCTTTGCAAAGCATCGAAGCTTTAAGTTTTTTTTTTTTTCATTTTCTAAATCAGTTTCGGTCGATCGGCTGTAGAATTTCGGAACAATGAACTCTACCACATGTCCTGGGATTAGTCCCAGCGCCAACTTACGTGATTCCAGTTCTCATGGCTTGGATCGTCAACTTTCGGTGTAAGTCGCTGATGATGAGTTGTTCTATTAAATAATATCGACACATTTATCTGTCTTTTTTGCAAGATTGATCTATAGGAATATATTGTTTGCTTTATCACTTGTTTACTTCGATTAACGGATCACGGGATGTAAACTCTTTCGTAGACTCTAATTTTATACATCGCCGTAATTTTATTGCCTTTAATTCTGCGAAGGGATCATGGTTTTCTCATGCCTTCTCCCAGTTTCGTCAGGTTTGGTTCCTCATCTTACCAAAATTAAGATCATCAAGATATATTGTTCCAAATTGATTAAGAAATTCTCAAATTTCTATCCGCACATCCTGCCCTAAAGTTGCAATATCGAATGTGAGTTATTCTTAGCATTGGCGTAATTGATATTATTGCCGGTTTTACTGTTTGGTTGTTAAAAAATTGCTGCAGATCTTCTAGGATTTTAGAACTTTTAAGCTGTGGAGTTTGAAAATGTTCTATCAGTCAGCCATTAACATGTATCGTTTTCAATCATGTGTGCTCTGCTTTTTGCTCATGTCTCAGTTATTTTTGTGAACATCTGAAGTTTTGCCGTGAAACAAATATCATACGCTCAATGGTGTTCAGTTTTCTGGATTTTGTGCTGACTTAGTAGCTAAATATTAACTTGATAATTTGATTAATTTTGCAATCATCCGGAAACGTTTTAATAAAAAAAGTTGGTTGCTGATAAGTATTGTGTTGCTCGACTACTTTTGTCATTTTAGTCACTATTTAAAATCAGCTCCTCCGTTTGCAGACCCTGCTTTGGCGCGAGATATCTTACACATGTCCCAGGCCACTCAGGTCGTAAGAAGTCTACATCTCAAGCATCCTTGATTATGTGTCGTAGCCCAGTTGATCAAAGAAATGGTATGATGGGGAGAACTCTGTGTTGTGATCCCTTTAGCAGGAGAAACATAGGTCGGACATTTTGTTCTGTGGGTACATGCACATATGATGGCCCTGCTTTAGAATCACCCTCCCAGGTTATAGAAGAAAACGTTGGGGTGCTGCTTCTTAATCTTGGAGGACCAGAGACACTGAATGATGTTCAACCTTTTCTGTTCAATCTTTTTGCTGACCCTGTATGTTAGTTGACCCTTGAATGATTTCTGCTTTGCCTACTTTTGTTTGCTAATATTTTTCTTGCATTGAAATAGGATATCATTCGTCTCCCAAGGTTGTTCAGGTTCCTACAACGACCATTGGCTAAATTGATTTCTGTGCTTCGGGCACCTAAATCCAAGGAGGGATATGCTTCTATTGGAGGTGGCTCCCCTTTACGAAAAATTACAGACAAACAGGTGGGCTACACATTCTGTTCCTTTGCCTTTCTTTCTTTTTGGGCTTTCCTATAACCTTTAGCCTTCACTAAGAGGAACGCTATTACTTCCATCATTGTCTATCCTGCGTTCTGCTGATTAATGGTTTTGAATGTATTTGTGGCACTCTTGCAGGCACATGCACTTAAAATGGCTTTAGAAGCAAAGGGCCTTTCTGCTAATGTTTATGTTGGAATGCGGTACTGGTATCCATTCACTGAAGAAGCTATTCAGCAAGTAAGTCCACGCTCCTCTGGGTGGTATTTTAAAATTTAATCATTTATTGTTCTTATATTCCTGTAATTCATTGTTTTCCTTCAGAAATGAATGGCTTACAGGGTAGTTAATAAGGATCTTAAATCATGTATTCTGATATTCAGTCCATTAGTTTAGATTTGAATATGAAATTAAAAAGTTTGTTATATTTATGACTGACAGATTAAGAGGGATGGGATAACAAAGCTTGTGGTGCTGCCTCTCTATCCCCAATTTTCTATTTCGACAACTGGATCAAGTATCCGTGTTCTCCAACAGGCTTTCAGGTGCATATAACTCCTCTAACATCTCCTAGTCAAATCCGTAATTAATTTAGTTTGAATTTACAATATATTGATTCCTGATTTTTTTTCAATTGTCAGGGAAGATAAATATTTGTCCAGTCTGCCTGTTTCTATTATAAACTCTTGGTATCAACGCGAAGGATATATTAAGTCAATGGCAGATTTAATTGAGGAAGAGCTTCAGACTTTTTCTGAACCTAAGGAGGTGGGCTCTAGTATTGCATTGATTGATTTAACACTGTTCTCTTGAGGCAATAAGTGTGAAACTTTCATTATATGGACGCTGTATCAATCATTATTAACTTAGGTGATATTATGTGTTTGACTCCAATTTAATCCATGGTTTCTGTCTTTTATATATTATTATTTAGGTAATGGTATTTTTTAGTGCACACGGGGTACCTGTCAGTTATGTTGAAGATGCTGGGGATCCGTATCGAGATCAAATGGAGGAATGCATTTTCTTGATCATGGAGGAGTTGAAAGCTAGGGGAATCAATAATGAACACACTCTTGCTTATCAGGTCTGCTGTTAGATTTAAGCACTTTATTATCATATTGCTTTTCGTTTATCAATTTGGCTGATATTGCTTGATTGCTTGATGTCTACTGTCTGACTTATATTTTTGCTTCCTTTTTGTAACTCTTTTCTTTCTGGCTATTGTCATTCTTTGTTGGATGAAATTCCAGAGCCGAGTGGGTCCTGTACAGTGGCTGAAGCCATACACAGATGAAGTTCTTGTTGAACTTGGCCAGAAAGGTGTCAGGAGTCTGTTGGCGGTTCCTGTAAGGTAAAGTTATTTTGCCATTTCACTTTTAATTCCTATAGAATTAGTTCTAGGATTTGAGTTTTGACATATCGCCCTTATTATAACACTTAGAAATTTCTTTTTTAATTTTTCTTTTCTTTATAAATACAAGATCATGAAGTATTATAAGTTTAAAATTTCGAATGGCTAAGCACCAACTATATTCTTCAAAAGATCTTTATTTACAAAATACTACTAAATTTGTAGTTTCAAGATTTTAAGTGACAACTCACTATTAAAACATTTTATTTGTTTACTTTGAGATGTATTAGTTAATGAGTAGATTAGTTGCAGACGCCAAGAGACCAGAATTCTGCAAAGATAAAGTCTGAATTACAAGTTTGTTAGAGTTAAAATATTTTATTTCTCTTTTATCCCAGCTTTGTGAGTGAGCACATTGAGACCCTTGAAGAAATTGATATGGAGTACAAGGATTTGGCTCTTGAATCTGGGATCAAGAATTGGGGGCGTGTTCCTGCCCTCGGTACCAATCCTTCCTTCATTATAGATCTGGCTGATGCAGTAATAGAAGCTCTCCCTTCAGCCACAGCCATGTATTCACCAACTAGCTCCTCTGAAGTCGTTGAACATGATGATCTTGTAAGATATATAATCAAAATGGTCTTCGGCTCAATCTTAGCATTCATCCTGCTTTTGTCGCCCAAAATGATTACGGCATTCAGAAATAATTTCATCTGAAAGAATTAGAAGCTGCCTGCTGACTTTGATGACGCTGACGGTGGATAGTTGAGGCTTTTATCAACAGATTATGGATATACGTGTTTTTGGCAATTCCTTTGATCGTCCGGTGTAGACATCGCAAATGATGAAGCTAAACCTTGTCAGTAGTTTTGGTGCCTTCCTTTTTTGTTTAGTTTCCTCCTTTGTATAGTTTTCCGAGTGATACAGTTTACTTACCTTTCTTCTGATTTTTTTTGTGAGCATCGAACTTCATTATGATTTGTCGAATAAGAGTTAATTTTTGGACGTGCCCGTCTATATTGTTTCAGTTATCTGTACTCCAACATTCATGTATTGGCGCTTCCGTTCTTTATTTACCCTTAAATGAGCAAGAACTCTTTACTTTTATTTCATTTCTAAATATAAAATCTTATTTTGTTTTGTTTATCATATTTATTTTTTTTTTTAAGATAGTTCTTGTAATAATGATAGTTCTGGCCAATATATTTGATTGACGAGGATATTTTAAAAAAAAATAGCATCTATTTATTACAAATAATTATTTAACTAATTTTTTTAATCTACTCAAATTAACTAATAATTTTTATATTAAGGATATGATGTAGTATTTGGTATTATACACAATAGGAGTATAATTTTTTTTCCCATAAGCGTAGTAGTATACTCTTTGTTGCACAACAGACCACCATATTAACACACCATGTAAATTTACGAAAAAGGGCTAATTTGATGAGACTCACTGTGTACATGCTTCTAGAGTCCACGAAATGCGGACTTGATGTCTTGGTCAAAGAATTAGACTCCTCGAATTGAAACCCGTTACCCACCATAGGTAAACAAGGGAGAATTGGCGGTCTATCGCAGAAGTGTGTTCCCTTCCCTCAAGGCGTGCACTTTCTAGATTTTCCAGTTTTTATTTGTGAATAATGACCTTCTTCTCGCGAATGAGCAAGGTCAAATCATTTTTCATTATCCCCAATATGAAACAGTGAAGAACGAGGAAAAGAAAAGGGTGAAATTAATGTGTGTCTGAGACACCAGTTATTCCACGTAATAGGTTGCTGCTTTGTTTAGCCTGTGAGTAATCACACCTCATTTGCCTTCCGCTTACTGTTAACAAGAGATAACCCAATGGGTCGCAATGACCTCAGTTCCAGAGATGCCACAGTTTAATGTTGGCATGAAGAAGAAAAGGGCCATATGTCAAATTACCACTCACAAAAATTAATTCCAGCTCCAGTTGCCCGAAATATGAAAGAAATTAGTTACGCCTAAAAAGCGCGCACCACAACTTATGAGTCTACCATCGGCTCTCATTTATTTCCAGTCTAATCAACATACATAAGAAGCTTAAAGAAGTAGATGCAAGTCCAAAAGGACTGAAATTCCATAAAAGGTGGGCAGAACGACAGACAACAAATAACATGCTCCGATGTGATATGTGATCAACATTCCAAGACAATCATTCCCTTTGCAAAGTCTTCAGCAACGCATGCTACTAGTGTATTGCTTATTTAACATGAGGATACAGCTTGGTCACCAAGATATAAAGTCAGTAGACCTCACTTTGTCCACCACAAGAGGAAGTCCTTCCGCCTATTGATCTTCTTCTGCAACTGGAGGAGTCCATATAGTAAGGCCTCAGCAGTTGGCGGACAGCCCGGAACATATATGTCAACAGGAACTATTCTGTCACATCCTCGAACAACAGAGTAGGAGTAGTGGTAGTATCCTCCCCCATTAGCACAACTTCCCATAGAGATAACCCATCTAGGCTCCGGCATTTGGTCATAAACCCTGCAAGAACATTTTCAGTACCAACAACAGTGAAATTGAAGAACCTACTCAAAGTGGAAGATAGAATATGACTAAAGTTCCTACTTCCTAGGAACAGAAGTGAAGCTGAAAACAACATGAAATCTAATTCCTGGAGGGAGAGGAGGGATGAAAATGGGATAACGACCATAGAAGTTAAAATCAAAGCTATAGTAGAAATATCATACAGAATATGAGCCAGCAAAAGCATGAAATCAAAGTGCCAAGGAATCAAAGTTTAATCCTACAGGAATTTTTCAGTATTGAGAACGGTAAAATACAAGGAACTAGTTCCCCAAGGAAGAGAGTGATTAAAAAGAAAAAAATCACAGAAGTTGATGTCAGAACTCTAGCTGAAGTATCTAACACCAGGTAGATAGGATAACAGAATTATAATCGAGGGTTAACATCTTGGACACTCAAAAAAGAGGATGAAATGAAAGTGCAACTACAGCATCGTACAAGAAAAAAAGAGGAATAAATCAAAGTGCAAATGAAGATCTGTCTACCATAACAAGAAAAATCCATCAAAACATATGACACGCAGCATCGTTGGTTTGATAGAATATTAAGCAATAGGAGATTCTATCGCTCTGAAGTACAACACTATGTCTGAGAAAATCCTTCATTATATATGAGTATGGGGCCAAGGGGTAAAAATAGAAGTTCACTATTCTTGAATAACAAGCTACCAGCCCTGTCTCGTGTATTCCATTTAGTATTACCAACAACCACATGACTGCCTCCAAAAACACATGAAATCATTAGCTAGACTTCAAAAAACTATAGGTATTATTTAGCTCACACCCCAAGTACTGCAGATTATTCTTAGGATTCATTCAAGAAAGATGAGAGGAATAAGGATGTGATCGGAGGAATAAAAACATGCACATTTCACTTGTCCTACCATTCCCAAAGAAAACCAATTTAGCAGTGACTAACACATCCTAGCAAACAAAGATTTGTCACAAGAAACCCAAAACGGACTAGAGTTGTGCTCATAAAGTTATATATGTTCTACAGTGATTAATGATTCGAAATCAACAACGAGCATTGCTTTTGAATACCACGCAGTATAAATTAACAAAATGATATAATCACACAGGGAAATAATTCATGAATAATCCACATAAACTTAATTGACCTTCGTAAGCTCCACATGAATAGTATTGAGAATGAATCCAATTAGAACCAACAGTGAAACTAAGCAACATAGATGCCCAATGCTTAATCTGGAAAAAAAACTAGATGAACCGAATGGAGTTCATCAATCTGAACACAACCCAGCAGACCCTAAAATCCAGCTAAGGGCAAGATAAACATAACATTAAAATTAATTTTGATAATCAGAATCCAATTCCCGAAGAGTTTCTCAGCAAGCAGATTCATACGAAAAGGAGTTGAAAGGAAGGCAGAAATTGAACAGAGCGAAAGGGAGAGGGGGGCAAGAGATATACTTGCGGAGCGCAGGGGCCATCTTGTTGGTAAGAGTGCCAGCGACAATCATGCAATCGGACTGGCGAGGGCTGGGCCTGAAAATGATACCGAAGCGATCGAGATCGTAACGGGAGGCTCCGGTGTGCATCATTTCGACAGCGCAGCAAGCAAGACCGAAGGTCATGGGCCAGATGGAACCACGACGTGCCCAGTTGAGGAGATCGTCAACCTTGGAGATCACATACTCTGCGGCTTTGGAGAGACCGGGAGGGGAGGAAGCGGATGGGGGTGGTGGCCGAGCATACGGCGTCGGCGAGGAAGTGCCGGAGGAAAGAGAGGGAAGAGTGGTGTGGAGGGAAACTATACGTTGAGGAGACACAAGCTGCGGGAGGCGTGAGGAGGTTCGGCGGAGCAGAGCCATGGCGTCCGAGCGTCGGAGGGATGCGCTTTGATCCTGTCGTTCCCTCTCCTTCTTTAATGGGCAGCTACTTTTCCCCTCTGAAACCGACTCAAAACTGCATCCAATAAATTAATTTATCAGAAGAAAATTCACAGTCCATATGAAAATATTGATTATGATTTGTAAATTTACAATGTCAAAATAATTAAAATTTATATAATATTAATGTGTATATATATATATATATGAGAAACTCTAGTATTTATAAGTCATGGCTGCCTAGTTGGTATGAAACTTTTTATAGAAAATATAGATCCATAATCCATTATACTAATGCCTAAAGAGACGAGTTTTTAGGACAATAAAAATAATAATATTTAGGAAAAATGACAAAAAAAAAGTTAAAAATTTATAAATAATAAATAAAAAGTGTCAACAAAAATTTATTATCATTTACAAATTCAATACTGTTAACATCAAATAAAGTGTTATTACCAAACTTAGAATTTAGAATTTAGTAATTTACAGTTTCTTTTTTTATCATTCTCTTTGGTATTTATAAGTATATAATGTTTTTGTATACAAAGGGAAAACAAATGAAACTCTGTATTTATCCTAATATAGCAAGAAAATGGCTACAACGTGATCATTTTTTGGACCTGGTAGACATTTAAAAGAACAATTTAAAAAATGCATGAATAATTATAAGTTACGTAGTGCAAAGTTAACAATTAAACCAGGACCTTAAAAAAATAAATAACAATCGGATTCGTAATATATTCTCCCGTGAGATGTCAATTCGGAGACACTATCAGTGCGATGGGCTTGCGCCTACGAATTTAAAGGAAGGCACCTATTTTTCTACTTGTTTTTTTTTTCCCCCCGTTACAGAAGGCACCTTCTAGTTATTTCTAGCATCTAGGCACTCACGACTCATGAGTCATGAGATAGCGAAACGAATAACCCCTTCTATGCGCACCCACCAAGGCACCAACGGACTGCAACACCCAGCAGGATCTATAGGAAAGTCTTTTAGCAGCCCAATCCATGTCTATGCTCACCATGCCCAATACATGTTTATTCTCGCCAGGCCCAGAATGTTCTTTGTTACGGGGGTGTTGTTGAATTTAGTCATCATTTATTAAAAAATCAATAAATCCTTAATATAAACCTAATTATTAAGTTAATCTTAGTTCTAAATATAAGACATAGTTCTTATATTTATCAATTTTTTCTAAATATCCATATTGATACTCATTCAACTACAATCAAGTATGAGAATAAGCTAAATATTAAGGAATATGATTATGATGTTTTAAAAAAAACATGTTATATTTCTTATAATTAACTAACTTATCTAATTCTTTTAATCCAATTAAATTGGTTAAATAGGTTTTATATTAAGGATCGGGTGAGTAATAAATTACAGGATGAGACAATAGGAGCAATAACATCACATGCTCGTCAACTTCGTGTTGTTGGCCATAAAAAAATCAACCTCGTGTAATATTGCAGTACAGCATGTATCACATAAATCTATAAATCAAAACACAAACCAAAATCATGGCCAAATAACTGACCTAAACAGCTGGCCACGTGATTAAAAAGAAAAGAGTTAATCTTAATCCCTCTTTTTTGATTTCAAATTCACAAGGATCTTAGTTTAGGGGGGTCATAATCTCATATTCCGCAAATTTCAGGCAAGTCAGCCCTCTTCATACGTGATGTGTTTTTGTATGTTAATACATCCCCCCCCCCCCCCAAAAAAAAACCGACGGTATAATCGTCAACTGGGCATTCACTGCTGCTTCATTTTTGTAACCATCCATTTGGTCATTCCATCTAATTATATTTTTTATAATCCTTCACATTAATTTCCAGCTCTTGTAAATAATACAGCGTAATTTTCCCTTGGTTTGTTCATAACCAGAATTTTACTGTTCTTGATCGAAATTATGGTCAGATGGAGTATTTTTTATACCTTACATTTATCATTTTTGAGCCACTATTTGTTTAATAGTTTTTATTCTGTTAATCCAAATCATCCTGTTATCATATATTCATATGTAACAAACAACTCCTGACGCTCATGGCAACATATTTAAATATTTTTGTTCCTTGAAGAAGCAGATTTTTCTTTGACAATATATTTAAACTTAGTTTAGTTTTTTCATTCCTGCCAAAATTAAACCTCGAGGAAGGATGACTGAATGTAAGTGCAAAGCATATTTTCAGAAATCTCCACAATTCAAATTGAGATCCAACCGCATAAGTAAATTGACAAAAAGGAATACATAGGATGCGAGATCTTCTTGTTCACTCTCAGCAAGTGCTTTATGCTCACAGCTTGCAACTTTTACCGCCATAATGATTTCATTCTTTTCATCTTTTGTTTTTATCTGTCCACCGCATAAATCATTAACTTGATTTTCTTTTCAACTGTCCATGACTGGTAAAATTATTTCTAACACAAGCCGCAGAGAAAAAGGCTCATCCAATCTAACTAAATTATAAGATTCGACTGCAAGCTCTTTTATGAGAAATTACAATGAAGTATCATCTAAGAAAATTAAATACAAACTATCTCTTGAGATTATTAAATTATTCCGAAGTTTTAAGAGATTTTATTGTAAGAGATTTTATTTGTTTAATTACTAAATTATTATTATTTTTTAAACTACACATTAACAACTGAAAGTGCAGTGATTAACAACTTAAGGTATAATGATTAACAACTATCACGACAATCATTGACAACTCATATATTATATTTTTGTGATGCTCTAAAAAAATATATTATTAATACCTGTCATAATAATTGTTAATCGTTATAGTTTAAGTTGTTAACTGCCACTCTTTCAGTTGTTAATGCATACTTTTAAAAAAATAATTTGATAATTAAATAAATAAATTCTCTTACAATGAAGTCCTTTAAGATTTCAAAATAATTTGATAATTTTAATATTTACATTTAATTCTCTCTAGTGAGATCTTTTCGCAATTTTCTCCACTTTTAATTTATTCAAATCACACTGTTCAACGAGTCACTAAATATGAACAGGATTTAAAAAGACAAGGAAAGAAGTAAAGAAGGATCCTCACCAAATATGACTTTTAAGTGATGCCAAGAAAAATCATATTCACAGACATCCATAAATGAAGCTAAAACTCTTGTCCAGGTCCTTTAATAATCTGCGCCAATCTCAAATCATTTGAGATTTCAACTAATATCTGTGAAGCTGAAAATTTAAAAGTTAAAACCTTTTTAATAAATATACTTTTTGGAATTCAAATTTATATTCTTTTTCTTACATATGAGAATGCTCATTATTTCAACTAATAGTTGTTGACGTCACGTTTCAACTATATGTTATAGTTATATTATTATGCATCCTAATTGAACCCGTGTATCCAATCTCTTGGAGATTTTTCACCTATACGAGGAAATCTAGTAAGGTGTTTTTAAACATCAGCATAGCAACTTAGCTCATTAATAAAAATAGTTTCGGTTACTTTTTTTTTTGTTATGAACATCATATAATATTACGTGACTCAATTTCATTGAGACATTCAATTACATATGAAACCTTTTTTTCTTATTGCCCTCTTTCTAACTTTCTCTTGCTCTAATTCTTCGTCTCTGTTATTTATTTCCTTGTCATCTCATGACTTCTAATATTCAAGGCATGCTGCCAGCGCGAGTTTTCATCAAATTCTTGGGGCAAAACCCTCCTTAATTTCAGAAAACTACAATGGAATTTTAAAAGGAGGTAGGTGTGAAATTCCCTTTTTACCCATACATTTTACCATCACGGTATACGTGTTTTATATCTATTCTATGTACTATTCCTATATTTTCTGTTCTCTCAAATCTCAATGATCAAATGGTTATATGTAGTGTTACAAAAATACATACAGTGTATTTATTAGTTGTTGATAACAGAAAAGCACGTTAAGTTTAAGCATGGGGCAGAAGCACAATTAAAATAGATCCCATATATATATAGACACGTATAATGAATCCTGAAAATGATGAACATTAAACATGGTAAAATATTTTTTCAGCAAGGCCTAACATAAAATATTATTTGTGCAGTTTTTTTCTTAAAATATTTCTGAATTAAGAAGAAAAATTAAGCATTCATTTTTCGGCCAAATTAACTAAAGCATGCTTAAAGCCAATAAAATGTTACTTCTTCCTTTGATCTGATTTGAATAATTAGGAAGTTTACAGTACAATCTACAATCTTTTGTAAGGATAAAACTAACTATCAATTCGGAAGGGGATGCTTTAAGTGCTGAACTTTGGGGCTGTCTTCATGGTTTGAAAATGGCATGGGATGGAGGTCATCGACGTGTCCTTTTGGAGACAGATGCAACAAATGTCATTGAGCTCCTGGCAACTGAAACGAGCCCAGATCATACTGACTATAAATGTCATCGAAGAAGTCCGGGCGATGATGAACAGGACTGGGGGTTCGCATTAACCACGTCCACAGATCTAGGATGAAGCTGCAGACTATCTTGCCAAACAAGGACTTAACGCTTTGCATGGAATCACTTCATTCATGAAGCACCTCCTGATTTAGCTGTAATTCTGTATAAGACTTGCCTAATGGGAATGTAGCACGTAGACTGTAGTTGGGTTGCTTTGTTATCAAAAAAAAAAACTACTATCAATATATTTTCTCTATACATCAATCTAGCTTCCTCCCCCCCCCCCCCCCATTATTATTAAAAAGCGTCATTAACTGAGTGGACACCTACAGTCCATATTGTCGACGCACTGAAATATACATAGTTAAAGGCATTTATTCAAATTTCCTAACTAGCAATTTCAATATCAATCAATTATTGAGTATGAAAATAAAATTCCATCACATCAAAGCTTCTGACAGCGACTGCTTAGCTAGTAATTAGCATTATGTAGCATATGCGTTCCTCTATTTCTCATTATTTATATTATAATACTAAATCATATTAATATAAGAGTTAATGAATATATTAATGAAATCTGTTTATCAGTTATTATAATAAATAGATATTATATTTTTAAAATATTTTTGTTAATCACATATATTAGTTAGAATTATCATTTGATAGAACATTTTAATATATGCAGCTACTACAAGAACTACTTTAAAAAAAAGATAATATTAGAGACAAAATAGATTGGAGTTTTATACTTAAAACCAAAGTAAAAGATAAACTAGTCTTATACTACTTCTACTTCCAGTCCTGAATATAAGAACTCGTTTGACTTTTATTTTGATCATAAATATAAGACTCTAATTTATTTTGTCTCATATATCTAGCCATTTTTCCTCAATATAATCCTTATAATCTAGTAGTTCCAACCAATATACTTGATTAATAAGATATTTTAAAAAAATAACACCTATTTATTATAAAACTAATTTAACTTGTTTTTGAATATATTTAAATTAGTTATTAACTCTTATATTAAGATTAGAGGTAGTATTGAAAACTAAAAGTTGTGTTAATTATACTGTGTCCACTTATTCCAGAGTCAGTATGACACGAGGTGCATTGTTTGTGGCATTTGATGTAATTTTACATTTCACACACACAAATTATGCATATTCATCAATGCATAAGACGTGCTAATTGAAATTGTAAAAAAAGCTTGACTCTTTTTACGACAATTGTTTTTGGTTAAAAAAAGATAATTTGATGTAAAAGATGCATTAGACAAATAAGTGTTAATCCTTCAAGAAAAACCTCATTATACAACGCTTAATAATCCCTTTTGAATTTTAGATTTGCAAAATAATTTATTTAATTATTAAAGGACGAATGCCACGTCCCCTTGTTAACGTATTAACGTTGAAGAGAATAATTTGAAAAATTATAAATTTGAACGTGACATAAAAGATTAATCATTAACAAAGTTTAATTACGCAAGAAGCCGTATTCAGACAATTAATGAGAAAATAGTTTCTGAAGTCCTTTAACGTTTTTGACCCCAAAAAGAAAAAGCTATCGAAAAAGGGGGAAAAAGCATGATTAATTGTACTAAATGCCAAATGATATTTTAAATTAAAGAAATAAAAAAGAAAAGAAAAACCCGGTAGGACTTAGGACTTAGCTAGGATGGGTCCCCACGGCCACATGGCACTGGGAAGAAGGGAAGCAGAATCTCAAAAGCGGATGATGGGGCAGGGATGCGGGAGCAATTTAATGCTTATTATTAAATTAATAAAATAAATATATATATTTTTAAAAATGTCGGCCTACCCAACCCTGGTTAATGGAACCAGAGCCCTGCTGCTCATGCGGACCGCTCGTGAAGCCTTAAGTTCCACGGGATGGAGCGTCGGTGACTCGGTTTTGGACTCGTGCGAGTTAAGAGCGGGTGAAATTTAAGAGCGACTGGCATATAAAGCATGGAATCCCGGTGCAATGCTTGCGCCAATTGAGGCTTGAGAGAGAAAAGAAAGGGCGAGGGGGAGAGAGAGAGAGGAATGGTGGATTCTAGCGATTCAGTGTCGGTGGATATTGAGGCGATCTCTCCCAAGGCTAAGGTATTGCAGTTCATGCATGTATGATACACTTTCAGATGATAATTGATGCCTTGCCTTTGACTGTCTTTCTGTATGCTGAGGAAATTGTTACAATGAGGCATTCAATTCTTGAAGCAATGTGAAAAGGTTGCGGCAGTAATTATGATATAGGAGTTTGTTTTCCTGCATTCAGCTTCTTGAATAAACTTTACGAAATCTCCTGGTTCTCTTTTATGTTTGATTTTTTGGTGGCAGGCTCTCTTCAAATGTTATTTCCTCAGTAACCTACTCTAGCTATTATGAATCTCTGGAAATTTGCTAGTTTTTATTTGCCTGTTCTAGCGTTAGTGCTAGCCTCATTCTAAGTTCATCATTGTGTTCAATACATTTCTTTCTTTCTGTGGAATGTTATTATTGCTTTTGATTAAGAATGGCTTCAGTATTTCTGACTGACGTCCTAACCTGTTCGCTTTGTCCTCTGCTGACCAAGAATACTTTCCCTTTATCATTCTGTCCCATTTGAAAGGTTTTATAACAATTGTTCCTCATCCGCTGGATACAGCAAAAGGGAAGTTCTTCAATTCACTGTGGTTCTCATGGTTTTCGATTCTGGAATTGATCACCTATTATGCGGTACTCCACAGGATATCAGAAAACATTTGACTTTGATGTCAAAAATACTGTGGTTCTCCTAGTCCTTCATACAGGCCCAGGGTTCCTTATTCCATCCATTTATTAATTTCTGGTATTCACTTATTCATTTTAATATATGTGAATTATAAAAGTTTTGGTTTGGCAGGTTTTGTTGTCTTAGTCTGAAAGTAAAAGAAAAAAAGAATGGTATAACTCCACATCATCTCTTCCTCTTATTTTAAAATGAAAATACATGTTACCTAAGCATTATAAAATATTTCATTGGGTGAATTAATGGCTTTCATCTTTAAAACCTTGGTCTTTGTAATTAAGGGGAACTTGATGTGCTTGGATTCTATCATTGATAGTTATTTAAATTTTCTTAGTTCTTACTCAAGGTATCCTTAACATGCAATCGCCAAATCCAGGATTTTCCTGAGATTTGCTTCTTAACATGTTACTCCGGCTCTTCCATGTCATACGATCGGATATCGACGTGTTTTCCCTATTTAAGTGAGTGTAGCTAAAGTATTTGGATGTTTTGGTGAATGCTCACACATCTTTACAACTGTTTTCTCTCATGACCTTTTTCGCCTCCCCTTTTGTGAAGGGAAAAAGTGTCATCACACTTGACGTCTTGTCTATTCTAATTAACTTTGTGAATGGGTGCTGATTGAAATACTTCTGCAGGAACATCATGTAAGAACGCATCATGGTTCCGTCTGTGTTTCGGTTTATGGAGACCAGGACAAGCCAGCACTTATAACGTATCCTGATTTGGCTTTAAATTGTAAGTTCATCATATTTTGGGTTATAATTTGAGTCCCTTTGGTTTCCTCTTATTTTTTTCACGAAAAGACTACTCTAACTGATTTATTTGGGCCATTATCACATCAAATATAATTAACTATGACTGGAGTTTTAAAAATCTGTGAGCTTTGAGTAATTAAAGTTTGTGCCATTATATGTATCAGAAATTTGAACATTTATTCTTCTATTTTTCTCTTCTTTTTTCTTTTTAGAAAAGAAATAATATTGAATATCTCATCCAGGTTTTTGCTTACTGGAAAGTTTATGGTTACTTTAAAACGATCTGCGCATGGAACATTAAAACACGAATGTTCTGTCGTGACTTTTATTAAAAGGTTTTGTGGATTTTTGACATAGTGTTTTTGTGGACGAACTAACAATTTAACCTTTGCTTTATCAGATGTCTCCTGCTTTCAGGGGTTCTTGTTTTGTCCCGAAGCGTATTCCTTGCTGCTCCACAATTTCTGCATATATCATATAAGTCCTCCTGGGCATGAGGTCTCTTGCTTTATGTCTTCAAGTGATTCAGTTGCTTGATATTTGTGTCCAAATTCTCCACTATTATATAAATGTCTTTATTTCTGCATTTTATAAGAAAAGTATCTGGTTTCTTATCTCTCTCTCTGTTTTTTTTTTGGAGAACTATTGCAGTTGGGAGCTGCCGCAATTGATCCTACTGATCCAGTGCTTTCAGTTGATGACTTAGCTGATCAGATAGCTGAGGTTCTGAATTTTTTTGGGTGAGTGCATTTAGTCTTGACTAGTAATTGTTTTCTCTTCAGTATGATTATTAAATATGCTCCTTATTTTGTGGTTTCCTTTACAATATTGATATCTGCAACATCTTCTGGAATAGATCGAAAGCAATGGTTTTTGTAACTTTTTGCAACTGTGCCGAGAAGCTGATCTTTTCTTTCCTTCATCTTGGGAAGGCAACCTGACTCTCTCTCTCTCTCTACAGTCTTAGTGCAGTCATGTGTATGGGAGTAACTGCTGGGGCTTATGTTCTTACCTTATTTGCTGTAAGTTATACTCTTCAGTTTTTTATTCTTCGAATTGGCTTTAAGTTTCAATAATGGGATTTTTCTGATCCTTCTAACTTGATAATAGATGAAGTACAGACAACGTGTCCTTGGTTTGATACTCGTTTCTCCTCTTTGTAAAGCACCATCTTGGACAGAATGGTTGTACAACAAGGTTCTTTTTCTAAACCTAGAAAACCATCTATATAAATATATCTTGATATTTGCTGATTTTTTTTTATTAATATTTTCAGGTGATGTCAAAGTTGCTCTACTTTTATGGCATGTGTGGAGTGGTAAAGGAGTTACTGCTGAAGCGGTATTTTAGCAAGGTACGGTTATGCTTCCAAAAGCATTATTCAGTTTTCACTGTTTTAAGTGAGTTCAAGTCACTAAACTTTAAATCGGGGATGATAGGAAATTCGAGGGAGTGCTCCATTACCAGAGTCAGACATAGTTCAAGCCTGCCGAAGAGTTAGTCCTATTATTCTTTGCTCTCTCTACACATATAATAAGCTGCTAGTTATAGAGGGCCTAAGTGATAAATGATAGCTGTAAGTTGAAAGCTGAAAACACTCTGATTCTTTTTAGAATTTCTTTTGACAGTCCTTGGATGAGAGGCAGAGTTTGAATGTTTGGAGATTCCTGGAAGCTATCAATGGGTAAGATCCACATCAAAATAGCAGCTGTCTTCCTGGTGAAAAATGACTACTGCTATCTTTGTTTTTAGTGTTGGTAACTTGGGGGAGAGTGCATTTGTCTTCAAGATTTTAGCAATTCATAAGTTCACTGATCAGAAATCGAATATATTTTGTAGCATGCATGGGTGGTAATTTACTGATAATATTGCCAAATGAATATGGCCAGCATCGGTTGTAGTTCAGCAAAATCTTGAATAGGAGAATGCATGCTTATAGCTTAAAAATACACGTCCTTAAATATCTATTGGCATCTCGCAGGAGATCCGATGTAAGTGAAGGATTGAGAAAATTGCAGTGTCGATCCCTAATTTTTGTCGGTGATATGTCTCCATTTTACGCTGATGCTCTCCATATGACTTCAAAGTTGGACGGTCGATTCAGTGCCTTAGTTGAGGTGTGTGAAATAATTTCATTCCATCTTAATCTATGATGAGATCGTGTGCTTGACGAAATGTGTGAGATTTGAGATTTTCCTGTGGAACTACAGGTACAAGCATGTGGGTCAATGGTAACAGAGGAACAACCTCATGCTATGTTAATACCAATAGAGTACTTTCTCATGGGATATGGTTTGTACAGGCCATCCAAGCCAAGTGTCAGTCCAAGAAGTCCCTTGAGTCCATCATGGATTTCTCCCGAGCTTTATTCACCGGAGAGTATGGGTCTGAAATTGAAACCCATAAAAACACGAATTTCTGTGGAAATCTAGAAGTAGGTGAATGAGCTTGCCGATTCGCTGCTCTTTCTCGTGTTTGTTGTATGAGTTTGTAATTCTGTGGCTGGTTAGAGAGCTGGTGTATTATGTGGATGCAGAGTATTGTAGATAGGGGGAGTTAAGAAATCGAAGCAAGAGACTTGGGAAGAGCTTAGTAAAAAGCAGATATAGCCATTCTTTCATTTGTAACCATACGTTTTAGTTTACAGGTCTGAATAGGTGGGGGTTTAAGCTTTGGAATTATTGTTTCTGGATAAATAAAAATATTGAAGTTCTGATTTTACAATTGTAAAGCAAACATGGAGAGCACTGTAATTCCTGTGCTATTTTGTTGTCTTGTCACCCGCGGATCATATTGATGGAATATTCAGTGTCGGCACGCAATTTCTTTATTCTTTTTTAATATGCCTATTGTCGCCATCTTTAGTTGCTATCTGACGTTTGAACGAACATTATTTGATTCGATGTGGACGCCACAAGAGCAAGACAAATCAAGGAGACAAGGACTTGGTAGACAATAGAAAATCTCAATATGTCGAATCAAGCTATTTACGAAGATTTATTTAGCAAGATATTCCATTTTCAATTGCCAATGTTTCGTCCACAGATAAGAAACTGCCAAAGGCGAAACTCGTCCTCGCTTGGGGAGGATGAAAATGTACCGATGGGAAATACATGAAATCGCACGGGCCAGCACTTGAGACTCCCTTAACGATTTCTCCAGCCGTTTGTGAAAAGCTCAAATTTACTTCTCAAAATCCTAATATTAAAAAATCAATCAAGGATGTACTAAAATTTATATATTATGTATTTAATGTCATGAAAAAGAAGACATCTACTTGTCAAAATTCAAGGATGGGATAGAAAATTTATATTCTATATAAGAAATTTAACGGATAGTCGAGTTTCCCCTTTGAGGAGCTTTATGGAACCATGAATATGAAACTTCTTTTTTTTTTGGCCAGAGTAGAAACATGAATACAAAACCATGTTTCAGGGCAAACGAGTTTCCGAATTTCAAGGAGGTCGAGAAAGCGTAATTAACCCCAGACGAGAATAGATTGACCAAAGAAAGAAAGAGTTAAACCAAAATAAGCAATTATGAATGTAGTGCTATTTACTGATATTCCTTTCTGTTTGATACAGGTCTTGGACAACCATGAGTGGAAGTCTACTTTTCAAAAAAGACTCTGCAACTGCATCCCGCCCCACTACACAGAGCATCATGCACAGCTCCTGTGTCGAAAAAAGGCCACTTTCTTCATATTGTTATGCGACTTTCTTTACTTTGAATTGGTAGTAAATCTTTGATTGCCCAGGCGTACCCTGCTGCTTCTGTGGCTGCTCTGCGTGCCCTCTTCATTTCGAAGAGCCTTTCTTCTGTTCATTTCAGCGTGCATTTCCTCAATCAAAGGTTTCCACAGCCTCACACGAGCATTAATGAACCAGTTTGATACCTTGTCATCATCCACCCAAATATATTAGGATTCAGATCATAAAAGTTTCCAAACAGCTTAAACCACTAAATGGGAGTTTCAGTCCTGCGAGACGTGTACCTGGCTTCTCGTCAGTCCACTTTTTACTGCAAGTAACTGCTTCTCTGCATCTTTTGGATACCTGAAATTTATCACATTAAATTCAAAACAGCACAGCCTCCATATGCAATGTGACCATTAGAGATAGGTGATAAACAAGAAAACTCACGGATGGAGGAAATTCTGAAACATCCAGGCTCGTAGGACAGAGACAGATCGTTCTGGCAAGCCCCTTTGGGGCCTCCATAACTGATGCCCTTTTCTTTTCAATTGCTGCAGGGCCCAGTGCTTTTCGATGAATAAAGCTTCCGTAGACCTTTCCTTCTCTTCTTCTGAGCGGGAGTTGTTAAATCTTTCTCCCATGGAAAGGATATAATTGCTTATCCTCTCGCGCAAATCCTTGTACAGCACAGAGATTGTCTTAAGGGCAAAATGAGTATGAACTTGCGGGTCCAACTCTGTAGCAGCATGAAATGCGGATACAACAGTATGTATCTCATCCAAACACTGATTATATCGACTGTCCACCTGTGTTAAAAACAAGCATAATTATTATTCTGTGAATTTTGATTCTGGAAATAGGAAAGTCAAGAATCAAGATCGAATGATGTAACCGTAGAATGTACCATCTTACCAGCTGTAGAAGTGTCAGAAGCCGGGATTTCTTTGATTCAGCAGCATCGTGTCTTGCAAATGAAGAATTTGCTTGAGCTTCAAACATAGAATCTGCATTGTGATTTGTTGTCTCTGTCATGCTCCTGAATGGAGAGCTGAGGTTGATATATTCCCTTCTGCTCTGGCTCTACTGCAACCAGCTGAACAATTTATCTGTTCTATATTTTCAAGTGAATACCTTGCAATTTGAGCAAGTATTTCTTGAATCCCAGCAAGATATGCGGACCCCAATATTGCTTGCGAAAAATTCACACGTCTATTGGAACCCAAACTCCTAGAAACCCCCTTACTGCTACAGGAGGCTTGTTCCAAGCTATCAGAACTCACCTCTGAGCACTGACCTGTGGTGGGAGAGGTCGCTAGACTTAATGAGAGCTCATTCCTGAAATTTGGGTAATCATAACCCTGATGGGTCAAGTTTGCAGCATTTGAAGATGTCCATCCGTTTGGATCCAGGTTCGCTGCGGACGAATAGGTCAGGAACCTAGTATCATACCCACGATCTCCAGAAGTTGGAAGCAAAGTGTCTGAATTATCCTGCCAGTTGCTCAACATATATGGTGCCAATGCCTCCAATGAACAGACTGAAGGAGTCAAAGCTGCTGATTTTTCTAGGCTCTCTTCAAGACCAAATCTTGCAGCAGGAGTGGCAGCTGGGGAAGCAGGAGAGATTGTGCCTCCAGCTCGTTGATCTTGAAACACACTGTTGTTTCGGGGACATGGGTTTCCAAGTGAGGCATCAGCTACAATGTTCTTCCCTTGGGATGGAACCAAGGAATTAGGATGAGCAATGCAGGCAGGATTCATTAGAGGAACATCCAATTGGAGACTACTTATGAGTTCACCTTGCATTCCAGCGAGCATTGAAATTCCATTCATGATGCGGGTTTGGTCAAATGAATAGCCCTGAATGAGTGCATTTGGTGTTTCATCTAAGACAGCGTAACTTCGGCCAGCCGTATCCATTGGAGCACCAAACATATCATTCTCCATCACTCTGTTTGAATTCTAAGGAGTGTTTTCTTTACTCTCTCCTAGAAAATGCATGCTAGCTTACTATAACAATGTATCAAATCCCATCAACGCTATAAAATGAGAAATAACTTCAGCGTCCAAAATCAACAGAACATCTTTTCAAAGTTCCATGTTGGAAATAAAATGAAACACGAAAGGTGGAATACTGATGAAAGACTGGGTTGAGACGACTATCAACGAGAGGAAAGGAAGGAGTACGTGGTCAAAAGGACGCACGTGAGAACAAGTTCACAACCTACCTTCCCCTAAGCCAGGCAAACCCAAGCCTTGCAAATATTTCACAGCTGATTGCCAGCATATGCAGTTGTCCAGAGAGAACCTATTAACAAAACATGAAAAAAAGAAATTAGAAAAGTCTGGTTTTTTAGTAACAAGGTTGTCAAATTCATCCCTCTGGTTTTTTAGTAACAAGGTTGTCAAATTCATCCCCCGAAAAAGTTTTAATAGCTATAACCAAAAAAGCAGCAGCAAAGAACTAAGCTATTTGTTTTGAAACAAGAGAGGAAACCAACCACAAGTAAACATGTTAAACCAAGAAGGCCAATACCACAAGTGCGTTGGTTGGTTTTTTTGCATGCTTTTCATTCCCCTCAAGAAGCCAAGACCCAAAAAACAAGGATCTTATTTTCGGACCCCATTAAACCCAGAGCACGTACTGATCTAGCTACAAAAAAGACTATTCTAAATGCAATGGGAAGAAGGGTGTTTGTTTGTTCAATTAAAGGGCCGAGGGAGAAAGAGAGAAAAGGTACTACGAATAGAGACAGAGAGATAGAGACAAACAAGGGCAATGGAAGAGGTAATAATAAAAGAAAGAAACAAGAAGGGAAGGAGAGTGGGGGGAAGGAGAAAACACAACGCCCTGTGGTGCAAGGCCACTCATTTGTGTTGCAGGCTTTACTGGGCCATCTCTCTCATGTCTTTTGTCCTCCATCACCACCTCCTATTATCTGCTGCTCTGCAATCATCGCAATCAAAATATCTGGATTCTCTCTGTTGCAACTTCTGTTTGTGGCAGGGGCTCCCAGAAACATTTTTCAGACAAAGCCCCTTGCTTTTGTAGCCTGTTTTTGAAAATACAATAAGGTAGTGTGATGAGAAAGATGAGTGAATGGGGTTAAAATGTCCAGTGCTTTTTCTTCATGGCGTAACAACTAAAAGCGCAAGGCAATTGATATGTGAAAGGAGAGATAAAAGGCAAACACTCTCAGTGTACTTTTCTCGGGAGTGGCCAAACACAGAGGGATCAAGACGCTGACGTAAGCAAAGCTAAAAAATGACGACAAAATTTTTGGAAGGAAAGATATTTAAAAAATTAAATAAGTTAATTATTTATAACAAATATATCTTAATTTATTAAACATCTTATTTAATTATGTATATTAAAACTATTTTTAATAAGAATATTTTGGACAAAATATTATAATTTGAGAGAAAAAGATTATTAAAGTACTATATTTAAGATTAAATTTAAATCCAAGTAGTTCTTATATTAGAAATGGAAGGCAATAACTAATTAAAGTATTTGTTTTGATTTTAAATATAATATCTGAATTTATTTTATTTTTTAAATTTATGAATTTTTTTCTAAAGCACTTCTGAGACATAGTATAAAGGGAAAAAGACAGAAAAATGCTACTTAAACTTCATAATTTCCAAATGGTATGTTAAATTTGAAAAATGCCACTTTTTGATTTTTTTTGAAAAACCTGTTGTTAATCGCTATACTAAAATTGTTAATAAGATTATAACGTTGTTAACGGTTATATTGAAATTGTAAAAATTTTCAAAAATTGTTTTTCCGTCACCGGAATTTGTTGAATTTCTCAAAAAACCTGTTGTTAATTGCTATACTGAAGTTGTTAATAGCATTATAAAAGTTGTTAACCATTATATTGAAATTGTAAAAATTTTCAAAAAAAATTTTCCTACCGACGGAGCTCCTGTGACCGGCCGGCCAGTAGGGGTTGTGATATTTTAAAATAATATTTAAAATAAAGGGCAATTTGATTTTTTCTTTTCACATAATAATCCAATTTGAGACCAAATTAGGATTTTTCAAATTTAACATATGGGATTATGAAGTTTAAGTATATTTTTCTATCTTTTTTCTCAGCATAAAAGGAGTTTTGTCAAGAATAATTAAA